AGTCAGTTACCCCAACGGATCGTTTAAGTGTGAAAGTTTTGTTATTTTCTTCCTGATTTGTAGGAAACTGTTTCTCAACTTGTATATTTAGTGTCAAGCAGTGTTCAAAAAGGTTAAACTCATATAATAAATATCGGTAGATTAATCGCATTTATAATATTATCACGCCAGCTGACTGTGTTCATTTTTGGGCTCAAATCATTCAGGGGAATCCAGACAGGATGCGTAAAAACATTGCATGTCCCGTAATGCAATATAGACTCGCCAAGAGTGGACGCGATCATAAACAGGCGCCAGCGAGATTCGAAAGCCAACCGTTTAGTCAAAACCCAAGCAGTTAGCCAATTCGCTAGCGAGTTTGCAAATTGGCTGCCCCAGTACTTCTGGAACTTGCTGTAAATGTATTCGTCTCGATATGTAATGAAGCTTATACATGTATTCTTTAAACAAGATTATATTAGGTTTAAAATAATCGTTTTTAAACAGTATTTCATCCATAAACAACTAAATAAGTACGAACTAATTATGGTCAGTTTATTAATGAGGATGTCTGCGTTTTCGACATAGTTCATATTGTTTATACATGTACTGTACACCTTTGCGGTACCAGTAGGTCAATATGGACAGCGAACAATATGTCATGTCATATGGTGTATATTTATGGTGATAGTCTGAATTTATGGCCAACCAAAAAAAATATATTTTTCTATCTTTCTGTGAGCTGTTTACAGTATTCAATACAGGTAAGTATTACGTAGATTGAAAAAAAAAACAGCAAGTAATGCATTGTAGCCATGACGTCCACGTTTCTCGTTTAATCCGGTTATTTATGTTTTGTTTTTGTTTGTTTCATCAAAATAATGTATTCGATGTAAGTGTTGATTTATCATGTAAATATTGCTGAAAAAATATCCAACTACAAAATTCAGGATGTATGACATGTTCCTGTATTGTGTTGTACATATTTTATTATGCTAATGTGCACGTGATCGACATACCTGTATCACAATATGTTCCCTCGTACCCAGCATTACAATCACATTCATAATGATTGATTTTATCAACACACTGACCTTCCACACATTGATGGTTCTCACATTCGTCGATATCTGCATGATTAAAAACAGAAAATGCATCACCCCTCTGGGAATGCTGAAGTGGTGATGCAATTGTTGATACATAATAGTTTAACCTATGGTATTTTGTGTGGTATGATAAACAACGATAGTTAGCACGAAACAACGACTGTCACATCTAAATTATTAAAGTCGCGAAAGTGATCCTAAACAGATGGTATCGAACTCCGATATACATTATTAGATTGGATCATAGTAACAAATAACCGACCAGAGCACGTATATCCATTTTCGTCTAGTTCATAGCCAGGATCACAATAGCATACATAACTTCCTTCAGTATTGGTACATCGTTGAGAGCAATGATTTACGTCTAAACATTCATTTATATCTGTAATATCAAATGATATACGACATAATTAAGTATTTATTATCATCAGTTTATGTAATCAGTAGAGCAGTCAAATTATGTGTGCGTTATTACGTCATACATTTCACAATATATTATGTGGTCTGTGTTTTTTGTTGTGTATGTAATTTCGATATGTATATTACCAAAGTGCCGTCATGGCATGCTCTCATTACTGCATCCTATACATTACCTATGCACACACTGTTATCGTCGTTATCTAGTTTATATCCTCGGTCACACTGGCATTGCTGTCGATTATTCTTGTCGATATAACAAACCCCATTTTCACATTGTTTACTACAGACTTCAGTTGCTGTAATCAATAAATCGGTAATTGGGTTATATGACCTAACGCCATGGCCTCGCCCTGACATTTGTGGAATATGGAAGTTATTTTTACGGTGCGGTCTATCTTGCTATATCATTGTTATACCAAAGTAGCTGAAACAACATGGTTGTAGTTATACCTTTGATTGCAATATTTAATTTATTAGACACATGTTTATGCAAGATTATAACTTTGGAAGTC